ATACGTAATTATTCAGGAATTATTAAACATGAACATATTAGTATCAGAAATTTAATTGAATATACAATGAATAACTAATACAATAGCCTCTGTTACTTTATTGCTCTATGTTGAACTGAAATGAAAAGTCTGTTATTTCACTGTTATTCTCAGTTATTTCTCTGAATATGAATTATGAGGTGTATATTTTTAATGTCCTGATTGAGCGACATCTATTTCAGACTCTCCAAGACCGCGCAAATATGTTTACTAGCATTTCCGTTTCCATGTAAAATGTTATGTATTTGCTAAATAATAATTAATTTAACCACCGTTTAAATCATTACCTGCGTCAAAACGAATGCTGTTAACGAAATCATTGTTGAAACATTTGCAGCAAGCCTACTGTACTAATAAAAACAATATAGCAAACTTACATAAACAATGAATAACTACAAGGCGAATGAAGGTATATGTGTAACTCTTATACAAAGCATAAATCTTCAGATTTCAGAATGAGCACTTTGTAGCGAATTTAGCTCACAACAGGAAATATGAATAATTAACCATAACTAGTTATAATTAACCATTCATATTTTAGATCCGCTGTAGATATTTAGCTGACCACTCAGGGTCAACTGTCTTGTCAATTCTAAGAACGTTAATTTCCTGGTTAAGGGAAATAACTTTCTTACTGTACAATTCTACCAAGCTTGTAACGTAAATCTGCATGATTAGTGACTCCGGTTATGAGCAAACAATGAACACGTCAAGTGTGATACAAGTAAAGTTTTATTAACTACATAAACACTTAACCTAGTCTAACATACTACATAAACACATAAACTGGTCTAACATCCTACATACACACGTAAACTGGTCTAACATACACACACACACACACACGCACACACACACATACAGTTGGTATAGGAAAGGGTTAAAGTTTAACTCAGCACAGAAAGAGGCATAAAGAATGAATTTTATGGAACACTTTGCATATTCAGCAGATCTAAAACCTGAGGGAAAACGTCAGATTCTTAGTTCAAACACACCTTGTAACAAGGTGTAACTGATACTTAATGCATCAATTAAATCGACTAAGTTTGATACTATATAATATATTTAATATACATTGTGTGTTTGATTGGTCCAGCCGCTACAACTTTGTCATTTGTTATATATATTGAGGTTATGTCCATCTGATGTTTATCATGTCCATCTGATGTTCACTACTATAATTAACGCAACTTTTTAATAAGCAGGGGAAATTCCCGACATAAAAAAAATTTTTTGTTTATGCCTAGCATTGCATTGCATTGCATCATGTACAGGGATACCTTAGATTTAAAAACGCTGACTTGTTAGGTGATTGTTTCTCATTAAATTCGTACGATTTCCTATTAATTCAATGGAATGTATTAGAATAGTGGGGAATACCAATATGGCGGCGCGGCGGCTTCACTTTCATTACGTCATGAGCAATCCAGTTCTCTATTATAAATCAGTGATACAATTATAAAATGGATAATTCCAGTCCTTGATTCTGATTGGTTGAGCCACGTTCGAAGCTGTTGTAAATTACTCTACAAACATACACATTGTTTACTTTGTGTGTTGCTTGGCAACCACTTTGTTGCAACCACAACTGTTTCTAATGAACTACATTGTTTGGTGGAAGAATACTGTTTTTATTAATATCATTACGCTTTATTTGCGCTGTTTTATTTTTTGAAACCTAACTACGTATATGGAATAACCGTATTATAAAAGCAATAATCCCCGTGAAGCCATGGTTTACAGTGAATTTATAACAGCTAAAGGGGTTTTAGGCACTCCGCTTCGCGTTGGGGCTTATTGCTTTATTAATGAATTTTGTTTTTATTAAAGCTTTGATCCATTCGTTCACTCATTTGTTTCTATTTGATGTCATTCAACTATTCCTTCATCCATCCATTCATTCACTTGTTTGATCAGCTGATTTTTCAGTCTATTGAACCAAACCACACTTATACAGACAGGACTCAATTTTTCAGTTTGTAGCACTGTGACATTCAAATTTCAGTAACTCCAAGCTGGCGACAAAGAAAGAGACAGAGGTAGACGGGCATTTGCTGTGTGTCAAAGAGTCTCTTCATAACTGACTGATTGAACCATATACTGTAAAAAAAAAAGATGGATGACGCTTCTCCTATTCCTTCCATTATAGAAAAGTGAAGCCAAAGTATCTCAGTATGGCCGCTGCCATCTTGAGTAAATTACGTCATTTGGAGCCCGAGTCTGCGCAGTAGAGATTTGTTTGGGAGCCAGAGTCTGCACAGTAGTATCGTGAGGTGGAGCCGCGGTACCAAACTCCCGCCCAAACTCCCGCAGACCCAAACAACCATAACGAGACACCCCGTTTTTATAGCATCAAATTACTAGCTAAAATCAAACTTATCACAAAAACGAACAATTGAACATATATCAGTGTGATAACAACTACCTTAAATGACCAAAACCATCTTTCGGAAAATTGTATTGGAAACGTAATGTATTGTTTTATTTTGACTCAAGTCTCATTCGTTTACATGGAGAGGGCGGGGTGTATGACCTGTACTGCAGCCAGCCACCAGGGGGCGATCAAAGAGCCCACAGCTTCACTTCTTAGGACGTGTGAGGCACACCCGGATTGAACATGTCTGTAACGAATCATCCACTGAAGGTGAGCGTAGTGAGAACCCAAGTGCAGTTTATTTACAGAGTGATCCAAACATCCAAACAATAATCCGAGACACAGACTTGACTTGACTTGACTTGACTAGGCATGAACAGACTTGACTTGACTTGAACAGACATAGCATGAGCAGACTTGACATAAACAGACTAGGCTCACCAACAGCGGGTTAAATACATTCAATACACGACGAAAGACAATGGCAACATGAGGGCTACTTATAGCAGACAAGAGGATCACATGACAAGAACAAACCTATGGGAAACAAGACACATGACCTAAGACAACCAATCAGAACATGACACAATGAACAGGGGAACCAATGGCATGAAAACATGAGGGCAAGGGAAGCATGACACAAACAGGGACCATGACTAAACTCCAAAATAAAAGACATGAAAACATGAACATGAAACACAACCCAAAACACCACATTACAATGTCCTTTACTGTGAATCTCTTCCCAGGCTTAAAACCCCCAAACTCATTCCTCACTCCCGTTTGTGAAATTATGTTGTTACTGGAGCAATGTGTCACACGAAAGTTAACTTAAAACACTCGTTATGCTGGCCTGACAAAACTACTACACCACTGTTATTAATCAGCTTATTGTTTCGGGCTTGATATGCATGCAGTGCTTTTGTGTGAATATCTGGAGAATTCAATATTAGAACTGCAATGTTCGCTGCTTATTATCAGTAAAATGGTTTGAATGATTTATGATGCAATCCCCCCCACACACAAACATACATCCATTTACACTATATATATATATATATATATATATATATATATATATATATATATATATATATATGTAATGTATGTATGTATGTATGTATGCCAATAGTCGAAAGTCTGGCTAGGTCAATATACTGCCTTGCATTGAATAATTACACTTATTGTGTTGCTACAGCTGCTTTACACTGGAATTAGGATTTGCCTATTTTAATGCATACATCATTGATTCTGATTCTATTCTGTTTATTACTGTGAAATGATTTGAAACAAACTCTATTGCATAAAGCACTAAAAAAATAAAGGTGACTTGACTTTTTCCTCCTCTCTCTTTCTCCTTGTGAGTGTTTATCAAATATAGTTGAGTGTGGCATCTAATGCTTAAAGTAGTACATTATCTAACCCACCAAATCTCCAAACTCTCACTGGAGGAAGGAGAATGAGCAGCAGACACCTTGGTTTACTCCGTTTGCACACATGGTACAAGAGATCAATAATTCTAATTATTATCATTATTTTCTCTTGGCCTTGGCTAATCCCCAATTGTGGCAGGAGTTCGATTTTCGCATTGCATCAGGGGAGAGAGATTGCACCATACAATCCCTGAATTTGATGTAGTGCATTTGTTCCCATTTCAGTGACACTCCCACAGTGGCAGACTACTAACAAATGAACTCCAATAACATGCTTATTTATTACTGTATCATTACGTGGAAAGAATGAATAAATAAATAAATAAATAAAATGAGCACATTTAGACGTATGATGCTGACTTTCCGCTGAAACTGTCACGCTGCATCACACGATTCGGATAAACAGATAGACCAGAATCTTCATGGTCAGTGTCATGTATGACAATTAAAATGGAGTGCAGAAGCTAATTAGAGCGGTCTTTATTTCGCTGAGACGGGATGGTGAACTTTAATTCATGCTGGCTGGAGAGGGAACAGATTCATTTATTTGGGTAATTGAAGGTGCTGATTAGCTGTCTATGAGAGAAAAGGGAAAGGAGAATGATTGCTTGCAGACTCTAGCTGAGTAACAAACCTAATCTACCATTCACAGTTCCCTCGGATAGTGCTTTAAATCTTGGCCAGACACCACATTTAAGAAGAGAAAGACAGAGATAGCAAAAGGCCACCTGTTGGAAACGGGTCTTATGTTATTATCTTACTTATATTTGCATTTGGATGTGCATTTGGAAACTGTCCGGAAATAAGTCTGAGATGAAAGCTGTAACGTGAAGCTATCTGCAGATGAGGGACATGCAGATATGTTCACCAAAGAGGAAATTGAGAACATCCTGTTAAAGCGTGTTAATATGCTCACAACAAAAATTAACAACTCATCGCCAAACACCAATAACTTGTACATACATATGGATTTCATCCCATCCTACGTAGCCTAGAGTCACTGAGTGAGATTGCATAGTGCAGGGGTGGCGAACTCCGGTCCTGGAGAGCCGCAGCCCTGCAGAGTTCAGCTCCAACCCTAATTAAAACTCACATGCCTGTAGCTTCCTAGTAACTGTTTAGACCTTGATTAGCTTGTTCAGGCGTGTTTGATTAGGGTTGAAGCAAAACTCTGCAGGGCTGCGGCTCTCCAGGACCGATGTTCGCCACCCCTGGCATAGTGGAACTGTCAAATCAGAGATGTCTTCGAGTTCGAGCGGGGCAAACTGAGCCGGATGATTTGGTCAGTCGCACTTTTAAACACATTTTAGTTTTGCTATAGAAAATCTACAAATTCACAATATGATTACATAGAGCAGCAGCAGGAAGCGTGTGAGGTTGTCGTGGCAACCAGATACACTGCACGCAAATTATTATTTATTTTGCCACTGTGTGCCACACTAAACTTAGCAATAAACACATTGAAAATAATACACAAACATGTCTGTCAAAACGATCTCAAAGGAGCCTTTTATTAAGCAAATCAAGGAGTGAATTGCTCATCCACTGTATAATAAAAAAATACTTTAGTTTCCACAGGCAGGGTCACAGTTATCTACAGTGTATGTGTTATGGAGCGAACGAGACGTGAGACGTGTGGATCCATTTGCAAAGCTTTTATTAAAAGACGTGGTCACAAACACAGGCAGGGTCGAAACACCAGCGAACAGGTATGGTATGGGCAAAACACAAGAGCAGTCCAGTAAACAAGTGTGAGTCGATTGACGGTGAACAATATCCAACAGGGCAAGGCAAAGAGAGACAATCCAGGTACATAGCAATAATCCAGGCAGGGGCAAACAGAGTCAGAAACAGCAAGACAAAAAGGGTAATCCGAAAACACAGGCAAGAATTCGAACACAGGAAAACAGGCAAGGCGAGACTATACTATACTATACTATACTATGGACACTGGAACTGGCTCTGTAAAGTGCTATCACTAGGAGAGTAATAAACACAGACAATACTCGGCAACTTGAGCAGGATCTGGTTGGATGTTATATAGTGTGTGTAATAGCTTTCAGGTGAGCGTGTGATTGGTTACAGCTGTGTGCAATCAGTGCAATGGATGAAGGGAAATGGTGAACAATATCCAACAGGGCAAGGCAAAGAGAGACAATCCAGGTACATAGCAATAATCCAGGCAGGGGCAAACAGAGTCCGAAACAGCAAGACAAAAAGGGTAATCCGAAAACACAGGCAAGAATTCGAACACAGGAAAACAGGCAAGGCGAGACTATACTATACGAGACTATACTATACTATACTATACTATACTATACTATACTATACTATACTATACTATACTATACTATACTATGGACACTGGAACTGGCTCTGTAAAGTGCTATCACTAGGAGAGTAATAAACACAGACAATACTCGGCAACTTGAGCAGGATCTGGTTGGATGTTATATAGTGTGTGTAATAGCTTTCAGGTGAGCGTGTGATTGGTTACAGCTGTGTGCAATCAGTGCAATGGATGAAGGGAAATGTAGTCCAGGGTATAGTGTAACAGTCTGTGTAGTGTGAGAGTTCATGCAGTGAGCGGGTGACCTCTGGTGGAGAGTGAACAGAAGTTCATAGACCGGATTCGTGACAGTATGAAGCTAGAGGTTTAAGGTTCATAATGTAGAACATTTGTAACATTGTATGCTGTATGTGCATAGGTAGCTAGCAAACAAGGAATACAGCTATTAAGCTAATAGTCACATTTAGCTGAGTAAGATCATGATTGAGAAATGTTGGATACTGCTGGAAATGCTGCAATGGGGTATCCTATTTATTATTTATTATTAGGATTGTTTTGTTTGCCCCAGTGAAGCATTTCTATTAATATAACTGATTAAGTAGTCAAACTCATTCCATATCAGCAGAATAGTGTGGTACAGAAAGTCTGTGTCTATAAAAAAGGTTATGAATGAATTATGTTACTGATACCTAATGGTCAAAGGCAATAGCAAAAGTAATAGGTCAATATTATAAAATTGCAGACAACAATTTTGAATAGCTAGGCTGGCTTGTACACTATATTGCCAAAAGTATAGACAACATACTTCTATATATTGGCAATATACTTTATACTTCTAATGAACGGGTTTGACTACTTTAGTAATTTCTCATTTTTAGTAAAAAAAAACATATACTGCTATTCTAGGGAATTGTGTGCTTCTAATTTTATAGCAATAGTTTGAACAGGACCCTTTTCTATTCTAACACGACAATGCCTCTGTGTATAAGGCAAGGTTAAAAAAAAGAAGAAAAAAAGATTGATTCAGTCATTGTGGAAGAACAGAAAGCCAAGTCCTGAACATATCTGGTGTGACTTTAAATGCAGACCTTGAGCCAGAAACTCATCACCAAACACCAATGACTTGTACATACATATGGACAAATGTATTGGGACACCCCCTTCTTTAGAACAGAAAAAGGCACTTCCAAAACTCTGGCATCAAAGATGGAAACATAATTCATATATATTTAAAAATTGTATTTCCATCTTTGTTATTAGGTTCCTAATACTGCTTATTTAACTGATCTCATGAAACTTGTGCTTACTCATAACTATTTTTTATTATTTTTAATCTGATTTCTTTTTGCAGATTTCTGGAGTTAGTATGTGATCTAAAGTTTTTGCATCCCTATTTTGTGGGCTGTTTGAAGAACAGTTTGTATTCAATCAAGCATTTAATCCATTTATTAAATATATTGTCTTGTGGAAACGTTACATAGATGTCATCTTTTTCATTTGGAGTGGCACAGAATCTCAGCTTGAAGAGTTTCAAGAATGCAAGCAGTGATGCTTTGTCATTCACTATGGATGCTCAGCTAGATCAAATACATTTCTTAGATGCTAATGTGATTCTGACGTAAAATGGACTTGTAACTAGCCTGTATCATAAACCTACCGATCGTAATACGCTCTTACATGGATCACCATATCACCCTGTTCCTTTGAAACGTTCTCTTCCTATTTCCAAATTTAGTCGGATTTGCAGAATCTGTAGCAGAGATGAGGACGATCAACAGGAAGCTGAGATCTTGGCAGACAGGTTCAGGCAGAGAGTGTACAAAGAGGAGTGGATCCAAGCTGCCGCCGTACGTTTCAGCAGTGTTTCCCAACAAGATTGTCTAGTTAAGAGATCTAAATGTAAAGAGCAGCGTGTTCATTGTTTTATTCGTTATTCCCCTTCGGCAAAAAACATCGATGGTATTATTCAGAAATATTGGCACATTGTTGAGAGCGATCCCAAGTTGCAATCAATTTTTGATAAATCACCTAGGGTGGTCTATAAGAGACCTCCCAATTTGCGCAACATGCTGGTTAGGGCAGATCTGTCGGTTCCACAACCAACACATTTCTTGCGTCATATACATTTTGGTAATTTCAAGTGTGGTAGCTGTCAACAATGTAATTTTACGTATAAAATGCAAACTTTTAATCATCCCTTTTCTGGTAAAACGTTTAAGAGCCGAGGAACGATTTCTTTTAAAACAGCCAACGTTATTTATATGTTGCGTTGTCCTTGTGGACTGGGCTACATGGGGAAAACAAGCAGACGACTTAAAACTCGTATTGCTGAACATAGATGTGCAATTAGGCACCATGAGCCTAGAAGTCCAGTAGCACAACATTTTACAATATATTGGCATCGGAGCAGTTAAGTTACCTCGAAGAGGGGGTGATATTCACAATCTACTTTTAAAACGTGAAGCATATTGGATTTATACTTTGAATACTTTATCTCCTAATGGCCTCAATGAAGATTTTGATATTCGCCCTTTTCTTTAATTACTATAGTGATTTAGATGGTAAGATTTACCGCATGTTATATTATGCTTTAATTTTTTGTTTTGGATGTATTTTTTGAATTTTGGTTATATATATATATATATATATATATATATATATATGTATATGTTTGTTGCCTATTCTCATTAGTTTGTTGGCATGTGGGTGATTTCATGTAAAAAATGTATAAAAAGCTGTTGCTGCCAGCTCTGAAAAAAGAGTTCACAAAAATCGCATTGTATTCGATGCAAAACTAACTTGACTAAATCAACTGTAACTGTGTATTTTCATATTTTCAAAACATATTTTACATTGATTTTTGGCACAGGCAAAGTATGTTGAAGCAAGGTAAACAGGATTTCTGTTGTTCCATTTGTTTCCATATACTTGACAAATCATGTGACGTGTGTATTTAAATATGTAAGCATATAGGAAGGCCCTGCAACCCATGGCTACTCCTGGCAAAAGCCATACTTTTAAATAGGCACCTGTCATAACCCAGTACCTACACTTGATTTTATCATGCAACAACCACTATAAAATTACAATTTGTTAGACCTCATTTTGATAGTCCACTTTAGACATTCTACTAACTATAAGTAACTACAAGTTAGTTACTAACTCTCATTAGAGTATTAGTAGGGTTAGGGTTAGTACAATAAGTCAACTTGCTAAGTTTCTCATAGTTAGTAGAACATTTGTTGCGGGACCATCAAGAATAAATGTTGCTGATATTAATCAGACAGTTTACTAATAATTTTGATAATTGACATGCAGTTGCAAAGTTACTTACAGTTAGTAGAATGTCTAAAGTAGACTGTCAAAAATAAAGTGTACCTATGATATGAAATCAATTAAATACTTTTTTTTCTTTCTTCAAAATATAAGCCTATTGATGGGAAGTCAAAAGTGACCAGCTACTTTCAAATAATGTTTATTATGCTTTTTAAAAGATTATTTATTTATTTATTTCAGTATAGTCATACATTTTTTTTAGCTCAAACGTATACATTTTGTTCAGTCATTATTTCTGGCAGATAAATAATTCATACAAATGAAACTATGCTGTAATAATAAGTATAAACACAATTACATCATTTGAGATACAAGTTTTTTTAAATTAATTTTTTTGCGTCTAGTAGTGGCACAGGCACTTTAGGCAGCTATAAATGTTTCTTATATAAAAAGATGGCTGGTAGATCTGTAGCAAAATATGTCCCCAGTCTCCCCTACATAAGCCCATTAGAAATCAACACAACCAATGGTAAATGTGTACGTCAATATCCAGGGCAAAGTGTCCATACTTCTTTTCATGGGCCTTAATATATCCACACATTTATGGATTTAAAGATCATATTTAATACTCATGTGTCATTAGAGGATATATTAATACACTATATTGGCGTACATAATGTATTTAATGTACAAACATGGCCCTGTGGATTATATTTCAAAGTGATATGTTATAAATTCATAGCCATCTCTCATCCAGTGGTGTCACTGTTGTCATGTCTTAGACGGCAGGGTTGGATTTCCAGATTTTTGAACATACAGACCAGCCAATTCAAAACATTTTTTAATATCTTAAACATACACACAATGACATACTGGAATTGTCAATTTATACAAAAAAAAGTAATCAATGAGAATAATATGTAGGTGTCCTTTATTATATGTGTTTTATTATAAGGCTACTGAGACAGAACAATCACAATTACCACAAAACAAAGTGGACAGCAACAAATATAATATGCCAAATATTGTAAAGACTTATAGCTATCTCCTATGGTAGAAATCGAAAGATTTAAGAGCTCCAACCATGACTTCAAATATGTTTTTTCCCCCCTGGTTTCAATATAAAAGCTTGGTTAAATGGTACTAAATAGTTCCATAAACATGAGTTGAATAGAAAATGCTGAATGCAAACTGGCAACACTAGGACCCACTTTAACCGCTCTATTATGCCCATAGCCCATTTTGTCCTTGTTTTTAATTCAGATGCACCGAATGCCAGATAATCAGTCCCAAATAAAGCATACTCCATTCACCATTTCCCAAAGCAAATTCTAAGGGGACAGAATATGACAATTTGAGCCCAAATTTTGAGCACAATGGGTCTATTCTTTCAATTTGCAAGTAGAATTTATCTCATTGAATATGTTAACTGCCCCACAATTTGTCGAAGTCTTGTTGCGCCACAGAAAAACTTTAGGAGGAGGTCTGTTTTAAGTCATTTTCTGGGGAAAAATGCCCCTGCGCTCGTATCTTCCCTCCTCTTGTCGGATTTCTGGGGCCATATCCTCAGGGAAGAGCTATAAAACTTATCAGCGGATTCCATCTCGGATACTCTGTCTGGACTGATGAGATTCTGACTGTCCTTACTGAGACACTCATAAAAGCTCTGGTGCAGTTTAAAAGCCATAGAGGTCTGGGACCCAGAACATGGTAGTGATAACCAAGACACACCCAGCCTCTAATAACTTTACTGAGGCGGCTGGCAGTTAAATCTACAGATTACAAGAGTGATACCCTCCTGGAAATTGTCATATGGTTCTGAGAGAGACTGAGTTTGGTTCACTATGTGTTTTTCATGTATTTTCGTTCGTTCTTTTAATTACAAACTGGAAATTATTAGTTTAGAGAAAGGTTTTGACCTGGTTTGGAAGAACTTTCACATGTACTTACTGTGATCGAATTAACGTTTTTCAACTGGTGTATGATAAAACACATTAGAAAATTCAATTTCATTTAAGAGGGACTCTAAACATATCTAGAAACCAGAATGTTCACATTCACACAGGCAATAAACTGTATTTACTAATCGTTGTGACTCTGGTGCCATGAAAGAAAGACTGAAGTCATGCACTTTTGAGTAGCTAGTGAGTACCGAATGGAGTAGTCGTGTTTTAGTGGAGCTCCTCTCTTTATTTTATATTTTTTGGTCATTATTTTGATTACTCAGGTTTTTCTCTGGTATCTTTACATAACTTTGTTTGGTAAAGAAGTATATAATGACAAAGCCGAAAGGGGAAAGAAGTTGGATAAACCGTTGAATGATCCTCCTGCTCAGTTGCCGCCGGGGATGGCAGAACAGGCTGCATCAGCCTCGGAGTCGAGTGTCAAGTGTCGAGTCTAAAGCGGAATCTAGCAGTGTTCTTCTGGCAATACAGAATATGAGCAAAACGATGACCGATCGGTTTGATCTACTTGAAGCATCTTTGGCGTCCATTCAAGGATCTTTAGTGAGCCTCGGGGATAGAATCAAGGAGGTTGAAAATGCTACAGCGGATTATGACTCTATCTCGTCGAGCAAAAGTGTGCGAAAATACAGTCAGAGAATTAAGCCCTCTGTTATAAAGTGATCGACTTGGAGGCTCGCTCCAGGCGGCAAAACATCAAAATTGTTGGCTTACCTGAGAAGATCAAGAATAGGCGCCCTACGAAATTTCTGAAGAAGTTTATTCCTGACCTGTTGGGCGCAAGCAAACTTTCTAAGCCGTTGGAAGTGAATCGCGCTCATTGGCTGTGGAGGCAGCTCGTCGGAGAGTATGCGCGGCCGTGTGTGATGATAGCCCGGATTCATCACTTTCAAATGAAGGAAAAAATAATTCAACTGGCTCGTCAACAGTTTCCTCTGCGGTATGAGGGTAGGCCAATACACATCTTTCCTCATCTCCCGGCTGAAATAATAAAGCAGCGGCTGGCATTCAGTGACTTTAGGAAGCATCTCCGGAGTGCCGGTGGTGGAGGCATTAATTGGGAAGCTTTCTTGAAAATAATTTATATGTATGCAGGCTGGACATGCTCTGGTACATGACTCTTATTCAGCAGTCGTTTAAACTGAAACATTAATATGACCGTTTCTTTTGTTTATAAATATTTGTCCATGTGATTGGAGAGGGAGCTTTAGGGCTTTTCTGTTAAGCTGTAGTTTCACTGTTCCGATGGTCTGGTGACCCCTCAGTTATTCACAGGGATGTGTGTTCTCACTCTGTTTGGGAAAGTGGGAAGGGGAAAATGTTCTTTGTTTTCTTTTTGTGTGAGTTATTTTTTATTTTTCTCTCCATGATTGTTTTCAAAGGGCGTACATTGTTTATTTTCAACTTTTGTATGAATCCTAATTTACCTTCAAGGGGCAGTGGCATTACCTTTACCAGCTGGAACGTTCGCGGCCTGGATCATGTGCTCAAGCGAGCTAAAGTGTTTTCACACTTGAAATCGCTGTCTGCTGATGTTATGTATTTACAAGAGACATATATTAGGCCCACAATAGAGATGATGCTCAAATGCAGCTGGGTTGGCCATATTTTTCAGGCAACATTCTCCAGCAAGGCTAGAGGAGTTGCAATCTTAATACGTAAAACAGTTCCTTTTAGACATGTTTCCACACTGAGTGAAACAAAGTCCAAACTTATATAATGTCTTTATGTCCTCATATCAAACTATCACAACATCTTAATTTCTGATTACTCTCCGACTTCAATGGTTCTTGACCTTGGCCAGTCACATTGCTGGCGTTTTCACCAGCAGTCTCTCTACTTTCTGACACATCATTTTGCCAATTTATATCTGAAAAGATTTCTAAATTTTTAGAGATCAATGATAGTTCTGGAGTCACAGACTCTACTTTATATGGGAATCTTTTTAGGCTGTGACCAGGGGACATATTATCTCTTTCGAGTCAGTCAAGACAGACGTAAATAGTCACATTGCTGGCGTTTTC